TTGTATATTTTGGATATTAACTCCTTATTGGATATATCATTTGCAGATATCTTCTCCCATTCAGTATGTTATCTTTTCATTTTTCTGATTGTTTCCTTTGCTGTGCAGAAGCTTTTTATTTTGATGAAGTCCCAATAGTTTATTTTTGCTTTTGTTTCCCTTGCCTCAGGAGACATATCCAGAAAATGTTGCTAAGGCCAATGCTCAAGGAATTACTGCCTGTGTTTTCTTTTAGGAGTTTTATGGTGTCAGGTCTTAAAGCTTAGGTCTTTAATCCATTTTGAATTTATTTTTGTGTATGATAGAAAATGGTCCAGTTTCATTCTTTTGCAGGTAGCTGTCCAATTTTCCCAGCACCATTTGTTGAGGGGACTGTCTTTTCGCCATTGCATATTCTTGCCTCCTTTGTTGAAGATTAATTGGCCATATAATCGTCGGTTTATTTCTGGGCTCTCTCTTCTGTTCTGTTGATCTTTGTGTCTATTTTTGTGCCAGTTCCATACTGTTTTGATTACGGCAGCTTTGTGGTATATCTTCAAGCCTGGGATTGTCATACCTCCAGTTTTTTTCTTCTATCTCAAGATTGCTTTGGTTGGTCAGGGTCTTTTATGGTACAAATTTTAGGATTGTTTGTCCTAGTTCTGTGAAAAATACTGTTGGTATTTTGATAGAGATTGCACTGAATTTGTAGATTATTAGTCATTCCTTTAATATTTATGCAAGAGATTATAGTATGCATTATGACTTATCAAAATCCAATATTAATTGATGTTTCTATTTCTTTCTGGACAATGCAGTGATTTTATTTAATGCTTTAACTCTCTGCTATTGGTTATATTTTAATTTTTATATCTTTTAAGCCCATGATGCATTATTATTATTTTACACAGTTGAACGTCATTTAGATTTACGCACATATTTTCCACTTCCATTGTTCTTTGTTTTGTTCTGCATCTCCAAACTTCTGTCTGGGATCATTTTTTCTTCTACACAAAAGATACTTTTTATTTTTTTCTATTTTTAAAGATTTTATTTATTGACTTAGAGCAAGTGAGAGAGAGAGAAAGAGAGAGCATGAGCAGGGGAGAGGGGCAAGGGAGAGGGAGAAGGAGATTCCGTGCTAAGCAGGGAGCCCGATGCGGGGCTTGATCCCAAGACCCTGGGACCATGACCTGAGCTGAAGGCAAACACTTAACTGACTGAACCACCCAGGTGCCCCGAAAGATACTTTTTAGTATTTACTTCAGTGCAGGCCTGCTGGAGAAAAATTCTCTCACTTTTTATTTGTCTGCATTTTAACATGTCACCATCTCTGAAAAAATTTTTTTTGTGGATATAGAATTCTAGTTAACTTTTACATTTTTTTCAGTGCTCTGGAGATATTCCAGTGCCTCTTGGCTCCCATTATTTCTGTTTAGAAGGCTGCTCTATGTCCAATAGTTACTCCTTTCCAGGTAACCTGTTTTTGTGTGTTTATTTGGGCTGCTTTTACAATTGTTTTTGTTTGCTTATTTTGTCTGTGGTTTTCAACAGATTGCTGTGATGGTCCTAGTATGGATCTCCTTTTTTTCCTCTGTAGGGTTCCTAGAGTATCTAGAATCTGTGGCTTGATATCTTGTGTCAGTATTGGAAAGCTCTCAGCCACTGTCTCTTAAAATACTGCCTCGGGTCCAGTCTCTCTGTAATCTTGTTTGAAGGTTGCAGTCAGACTTCTGTAGACAGGGGTCTCATTGTCTTCACTCTGCCCCTTACACTCCCTTCTGTGTTTTTCATTGTTTTTTCCCCCATGTTTCACTCTGAGAAATTTCCTTTTTCTGACCAACATTTCACAAATGTTAATGTCTTTAAAATCACCTAGGGATATCATTAAAATATAGATTCTGATTCATACTAGGCTTATACTGGGGCCCAAGATGCTGCATTTCTAAAACGCTCCCAGACATAAAGAGAACATTAAATAAAAACTCAGGAGGTATGAAGAAAGTCTGGGGTTTCATTAATAACAACATATGAGTATTGGTTCACTAATTGTGACAAATATACCATATCGATGTAAGGTATTACTGACTGTAGGAATTGGGTGTGAGTTATATGAGAACTTCCAGTACTATATTTGCAACTTTTCTGAAATTTGAAACTGTTTTAAAATTTAAAAATCTACTTTAAAAAAACACTCCCAGGTTGTGTCAGTGCTGGTCCACAAATCAGACTTTAAGTATAATATTCTAGTCTATCTTACCAATTTTCTCTTCGGTTGTGTCTAATCTACTGTTAAACACATCTCTTGAGTTCTTAATTTCAGCTATTGTATTTTTAATTTCCAAAACATACTTTGATTCTTTTTGTAACTTTTAGTTCTCTGACAAAAATTCTCAAGCTTAACTCTTACCTCTTCAAACGTAAATAGCATAGTTGCTTTAAAGTCTGTATTGTAACTCTAACATCTGAGGCCCATGTGGGTTTGTTTTCTTCTCACCATTGTTTTTCTTATTTTTCTCTCATGCTGTCATGTCTTGGAGTGGCTCTGGTTATTTTTTATCTTGTGTTAAACATTGTATTTACAAAAATTTTTTTGTAGAAATAGAGGACTGAGATGATGTTATAATTCTAGAGAAGAATTATGTTTGCTTTTGCCAGATTCCAAAGCATCCCGAGAAGCCAGGATCAGCTCAAAATAACTTCAAGATTGAGATGAACTGTATTGTCCCTGCCAAGGCCTCCTTCCTCCTTTCCCTCCTCATGAGTGTCTCGGCCCAAAGCAAGGGGGGTGACTTCTGTCTTGGCCCACAGCAAGGGGGGTGACTTCTGTCTTCCTCTGGCTGACAGGCCCTGAATTCCACTGCTTGATCCCCTAGGCTACATAAAGTTTGTTTAGACTCTACGGCTGAGTAGAGTTGCATCACTTCAACCAGAGGCCATTGAGAAGAACACCTTTCTGTCATTCAAAATAATTTCCTGTGATGTTAGCAATATACTCCTTCTCTCTCAAGTCTTCGTAATGTGGAAGTCCCTCATTCGGCCCAAGTACCAGCGACTTCAGATGGGAGATTCAAGAAAACCATGGGCTTTATTCTATATCCATCTTTCTCCCTATCCTAAAAAAGGGCCAAATTCAGGTTGAAGAATAAAATTGGAAAAGATGTGAACTTTCAAGGCAGAATATTAAGTCCAGCTATGTGGTTCTCAAATGTCAGTGCACACGAGAATCCTTGGTGAGGTTGTCAAACATGCTTATGTCTGGGGCCCATCCCCGGAGGTTTTTGAGTCACAGCATTTCCCACAAACTCTGGATGGTTTTTACGCAGGTGTTATCATGAGGTGTTTTCAAAATGCCTCCATGAACAGATTTGTGCCACCCTCCTCCCCCCAGCTCCAAGCACCTAGTGGCTTCACAATGCATGCAAACTGATCCGTGCCATCTGGCCCCAGCCCACTCGTTTCTTCAATCCCACGCCACCCACTCCCCACTTCCACACTGCACTCCTCAGCCATCTGGACTTCTTCCTGTTTCTTTAACGTGCCCAGTTTAGTTCTGCCTCGGGGCCTTTGCACTGGCTGTGTCCTCCATCTGGAAAGCTCTTTCCTCTGCCTTACTTCTCTTTGTCTTCAGATCTCACTTTAAAGGACATAAATCTTCCCTGACCCCTAGCACTCTCTGTCATCCTATTTTCATTCCTTTAACTACTGCTGCTATTTGATTTGTTTTGTTGGTTGTTTATTATCTGTCTCCTCATTGTAGTTCAACCCCTTGTGGGCAGGAATCTTATTTGTCTTGTTCACTGCTATATCCTTGGGATCTACCTGGCACATAGTAGATGCTCAGTAAATATGAATCAGTTACAGAAACTGAACGCACACAGGCTGGTTGGGTGGACAGACACAGCTTGTCTTCCTAGGAATGCTGTCCTCTCAGCTCCTTAGCGAAGTCTGGAGCTGACTTACTTATTCGGCTTAGCCAGTCACGGCTGAGCACGCACTCTGCATAGGCTCCGTCTGAGGTGGGAAGTGCACACGGTTCTCAACCTGCAGAAGCACAGACTGATGGACAGACAGACCCATGGACAAACACGAGACAGTATGAAAAATGCTGTGATTGAGCTGTGGCAACAAAGAGAAGGCCACGATCTTTCTGATGGGCGCAAGCCCTTCAGGCAGCCAAGTCAGGGAAAGCCACAGAGAAGGAGCCTTTGGGATGTGTGTGCACTTCCCTCTCTTGCAACATCTTACTTAATGTCTCATTCCAAACTTTAGTAAGTACCATGAAGGACAAGAACATGGTTCTTGTAGACTGAATAACAAGGGAGCCTGGCCTACCCTGAGGCTCAGGGAAGGCTTCTCTGAGGAAGTAATGGCCTGAGCCAAGATCTGCAAGAAGGGCGGGGGATGAGAAGGGGCTGGGGCTGGGGCAGTGCCAACGGGCAGGGAAGAGGAGGGCACCCAGGCACAAGGCACAGCTCATGAAGACGACCTGTGTCCTGAAGGGGGGCCAGAGGGAGATGTGGTTCACATTGTGGTTCACAATGAGGAGCCCGCAGGTGGGGGGTGGGGGCAGGAGTGCAGACGCCCACCCCACAGACTTCATAGACCACATGAGACACCTTGGATTCTGTCTCAAAATAAAACGGGAAACCCCTAAAGGTGTTTAAGCAGAGTAAAAGCCACGATTAAATTTGTGTTTGAGAAGAGGACTCTGGCTGCAGTGAGGGAAATGGATCGGAGAAAAGAGAGAGCCGGAGAAAGGGCATTGGGGAGGACATTGTGGTATTAGAGGCTGGGCCTTCACTGGCAGTGGAGGTGGAGAGAAGCAGACAGAGCTTGGAGACACGCAGGAGGGAACAGAGGCAGCAAAATAACAGAAACCCTCATGTGCTGTGCTGTGCTCACCGCAGTGTCTGTCACTGCCCAGCAGAAAGCACCCGGCTGACTATCCGAAGTGCCGTCAGCCTCCTGGATTCGGCCAACGCATCATTCAGAAGGGTCAGTTCCCCCTCACGCCATCCAGAGTGACTGCAGCAAGGACATTTCCATCGGACATGGCTCAGATGTGTGAAGCTGAAAGGTGGGCACAGGTCCTCTGCATGGGGCACCCTGGGGAACTAGGGGTTGCTGGTTCTTAGCTCCCACTGCAGCCAGTAGAGAGAGAAAGCTTTCTCCCATCTTCTCTGTGGACTATAGCGCCCCGTACCCCCTATCCCCTGTTGTCAGCTGGCTCCATCTGTTCTGTTCCTTCACCCAGGAGTGGGTTTTCATTGGCCTAAACACGGCGGCTGCATGAGCCCGGAAAGGGTTAAGTCAGCCCAATACACGTTCTGAGCCAAGTTGCCCATCTCTGTCCCACTCATTCTCTTCCAGTTTATGTTTCCTCTCTCTTCATCATATTTCTACGCAGCTTTTTCTCTGGATTTCCCCTCCAAGGGGAGAACAAATGACATGCTAATGTGTTGAGTTGGTATCATATGTGGTAGCTGTGAGAGAAGGTGCCAGAGTATGTAAGGGAAGTTGTAGGGCAGCAGAAAGTATCCATGGCAATGTTACCCTGTTTAGCAAACATATGAAGAGAATTTGTGCTGAGAGAATCAAAGCATAACTTAGAGGTACACTTTGGCAGGTCCAGATTCAAAACTGGTATTTTCCACTGGTTGACTGCAGAGCAAAAATAATTTTCATACAGTTTGTGCCTTGAAATTTATAGCAATAGTGAGGCAGGTTTTCTCTGACTATGGATAATTATCAAAGTGTCATGTGACTTCGGGGTGTAGCCAGGACTCACAACAGCATCAAATTTCATTTAGGACAAGTCCACACACCTTTTCCCTGCAGCAAGATGATCTTTGGTCATCCCTGTTTCACCAGAGATTTCATTTTTGTTCTTTTTTTCTTACAGATTCTGCGATTATGTTGAGGTAGAAACATTTACATGAAATCCAAAAAGGCTTACTCAGTGCAATCAGTATTTATAAGGAGTTAAATCCTTGGCCATCACTCTGCAGTGCATGTGTCCCCACGGCTACTCATTGAAGTCCTCCGTGTTCCGGCAGCAGGTGTCTCTGCGTACCTCGGTGCATTCCGAATTGCCTAGAGTTTATGTCTTGTCTAAACTTGGCCCAAGAGAAAAGATGAAAGGCAGTAGCGTGATGCAGTTTTCTGGAGGAACACGGAAGGTCTGGTTTTTGTGTTGGCTTTGAAATTGACATAAATTCTATTTTCTTGCACATAAAATACGCCAAAACAAATCAGGCATTGGTCTAGGGGTTCTCTGGGACTTGAATCAGACTCATCCACCAAGGAACTATGTACTGCAAAGGTATGCAAAAGCCTAAGAGGATCTAAGTTTGGGGGCTTTCTAAGAAATAGAAACTTAGATCAACCAGCTTCCATTGGCAAATGCAGTATGTGACCGGTCAGGAACAATTTGTGTAGTTACAGCAACAAATATCATGCTGCCCTTGCTAATTGTAGATGAGTCACTGTTGAGAGGACTTTTTCCTGGTAGCCTGAGTTAGACGTATCCTAGGTAGTGGTATATATATATATATATATTTAAATGTTGTATAAACCAAAAAAATTACCATTATCCAATTACCCTAAGAGCCATAGCTAATATTTTGTCATATGTTCTTACAGCCTGTGTCTTTTTGTGATTCAACTACTTTTTTTTAAACTAGCAATATATTATGAATAATACCCTCTGCTGATGAAAACCTGGAAATCTGTTTCATTGGGATGCCACATGATCACTGAGCTTTGCACAAGGCTTAATACATAGTAAGCATTCAGTACATTTTTGAAACAATAAAATGACAAGGGCAATGTGGTCTAGCTTTGGCACCGAGTTTTAATAGGCATGCACAGGTCTCTCTATAAAACAGGTTGATATCATCTACTCTGTTTTCAGTGATCCTTGTAATTACCTCAGCCGGAAAAGTGATTTTCGGATTTATGGCATTCTTGTCATTCTTTTTTGTCTGTCATTCAGTCCCAGGCTACTCTGGGATGACACAAGCCAGGTGCTGGGGCTGCCTTTCCAACCCCAGAGTCTTCCCGTGGAAGAACACTGACCGTGGGGCCTCTGCACCCAGGTGCTCAGTGCGGGGAGGGAAGCATGTCAGCATCCCCCCATCCTCCAAGTCCAGCATGCACTCAGGGAGCCCTTGGTATAGTCCTGCTTCTTTTGCCCACCCACCCCAACTCTCCCCTGAAGTCACAGATAACCACCCAACTGACGATGGTGTGCTAAGTTATTCAGAACACCTAACCTAAGGTGAGATCAGCAGAGTTAAGTGACATTATTCTGTCTCAGAAAATCTAACTGAATCATTGTTTGGATTAAGTCATTGTCCAATCCATTTATCCACCAGACCTCCCACGTTGAATGTTGTAGCTTTACTTCTTCATCTTCCATGTTATGAGAGAGAAAAAAGAAGAAGAAGAAGGAGAAGAAGAAGATGATGATGATATGGATTATGGCTCTGTGATGCTCCACTCAGTAACTTGAAAGGGAGGAATAAAAACACGGAAAGCCAGAGTCCACATGAAGCAGGACATCTCCTACTTTGTCTTAGAAGCACAGAGGTCGCCAGAAGGACATTCTGCCTCCCTAGAAAATCATTTCTAGAGAACCATTCCAAACAAAGACTTCAGATGAAACAGGCTCTAAGGAGTCAACACCAACAAAACAGCTGATTTCAAAAATCTTTGAAATGCACATAGCCAAAGAGCTCTTTTCTGTTGTTGGTGGGGTTTCGGCTTTAGCTCACATTTACCACTTCCCTCTCAAGCTGCAAGCTCATGGAGGGCTGCTGTGAACATGCCCTGGGAGAGCACTCCGTCAGCCAGCAAGAGGAGAAAGGGCATGAGACCACACCGACCGAGAAGATACTGGAAGACTTCTCCCCAGTGGCCCTCTCCCCCGCTGCCTGGAAATGCCTTCACACTCCACTGTCTGACTCATCCAAGAGCAGACAACAAGCAATCACGTTCGTTGATTACAATTAGACCTATCTAGAATATAAATATTCCTTTCAAGTAGCTATATTACTCTATCTGTGAAGCATGTAGAATGTCTGCTTTGTGTCGTTTTTCCATTAAAATGCAGTCCTAACAGAATTCCAGCTACCCAGTAACATCTGCTCCTCATCTTCACGTGATTTATATGACCATGTGGCCAAAACCATGTATAAATATAGATAGGATCTGAGAGGGATCTTGTTCTAAACATGAGTAAAAGTGGAAAGATAGGTATACTTAATTACATCATCAAATTTGTTTTATATCTTATAACATCATATTGTCAACCACATTTATCATTTCATGTCAGGGAAACATAAGAGGGCTGTAGATGTGTATGTTCCTCGTAATTAATTCTGAATATTTTACATAAGTTATTTCCATGACAATGGCAGCCGAGAGAAGGAACAGATTCTATCAACTCTGCTCTATGGCTGGTGAAACTTGATGGTCACACAACACATCAAGTAACCAGCACCCCATTCTTTTGACTCTCAGCTTACTTTTTGGTTGATAGTCTTCTCTCATGGTTATAAAAGTAAGATGAAATAGATGGGCACATTTGATGAAGGGGAATGACCATACCCCTCAAATGTCAGCAAGTTCCTGTGTCAAAGTTCCCCCCTTCTTTGGAATTTCATGTTACTTCCTCTTGCTGCTGGGTGGGGAGTGGACTGTGCTTGCGGGGTGCAAGGAGGGAAATGAAGAGGCTGTAACACTACTCCAGGTGAGGGACCATGATGACCTGGCCTCGGGGGCTTGGGTGTTCGCCCTATGAACCAAGAGCAGGAGGCTAGTTCTAGAGCAACGTGGAAGGCCAATCAAGTGGACTTTGATTACGTACGGAAGGTGAGGGAACAAGAAGGTGGTGAGAAGGGTGGTGCTCGGGTTCCTGAGTGGGTGGTCTGACCATTTATTAAGATTGGAAGTTCAGGAAGAGGCCGGGGGTCCTATCAAGAGTTCAGTCTTTAACATACTGACGTGAGGTTGTGGCTTCAGGCATAGAGGCCACTGGGAAAGCAGGCTGGGCTTGGGCCCCACCCCGCCTTGCACCTGCTCCTGTCCGTGTGATAGGTTAGTGTTCTGTGTAAGCAGTTTTTGGAGAAAATAGTCTCTAACCACAGAAAATACTGAAAAACTGCAATAGGCAATGGGGAATCACCAAAGGATTTCAGTCAGGAAAATGAACTGAATGGATTTGTATTTATGTCTACCTCAGAGTGGGCGAGAAGAGAGGGAAGAGGTTTGAATCGTGGCAGGGGGCCCTCACCAGCTTTTAGATTTGGGCAAATTAACCAAACCCTTCGAGCCCCAGGTTCTTTGTCAGCAAAGTGAAGCTAGGACTGCCTTCCTCACAGGGTTGTTAGGAGAATTGTAATGAAAATGTCTATGATACTACATTCTTCATATGTGTTGGTTCCCCTCTGTGACTGAGCACCTGTTGGTGCAGATCAGCAAGTGGGGTGGCCTCAGCAGTTTCCCCAGGGTGGGGTGGGCAGAGTCCAGACTGCTGGGTTTTGTGGCGGGTGGGTGAGGGCCACGCTGACGAGTGTGGGGCTGGGGACCCCGATGCAAGGTGGTGCTATTGATTGTGTTCAGGGGTTCAGGGGGAGAAGAGGAGCATGGAGCATTCTGGGTTTGGTCAGGTGGAGGGGCAATCTGGCAGCCATTTGTATAAACAGGTCCTGTGTCCCCACTGGACCACAGAGCTGCTCTGCACTTGCCTTTCCTCATCAGCACCCGCTCTTCTCCTCTTAGTCTCTGCTGCTCCTAACCCCAGCTGAGCGCCCGGCCTCCTTCCTCTTCCGGCCCCGGGGCTCACGAGCTCCAAGGCTCCCTGTTTCTCACAAGGCACCGGCCCACGTGCATACTCTTTCTTTTCCAGCCTCAGGACTTAGTTGCCGCCTCTTCACATTCAGGGGTGCTGGTTGCTCAGGTATGAGCTCTTTTCTTCCAAAGGCAGGAATGTTTTCTTCTGATCTTGCTTTTTCCATGCCTGGAACCCTGCTGCTTTCTCCTTGCTTTCCAGTCCATGCCCTCGCTGAGCCTGCTCTCGTGGGGGGGGCAGTGTCCTGCGTGCCGGTGGGAAGTGGGGTAGTGGCTGGCTAGCTGCAGGCCACACAAGGCAGCATGACCTGGGCCGTGGCCCTCTGGCGCTGGATCCACATGAGGATGACTTTCATTGGTGGGAAGCCCCGTGCCCCCTGTTCAGATGATAACCAGGCCGGTGGCTGGGATATGTGGATTCAGAGCAACATGCTGTGGCCCGAATGCTCTTCCTCTGGGCCATGCTGAGGCCTCTGCAGGAGCCCCACCCCACTGCACAGCACGGGAAGAGCTTGTGGGTGGCCAGACCATCTTTGAACCTCTCTTCCAGAACACATGGCCCCTCTTTGCATTCCTCTTGCTCCTTTTTCTGGGCTTCTGTTGATTCACTTTGTAAGCCACGTCTCTGGTCTCAGCCCAGGAGCTCATCTGTCTGGGAGAGATGCTGTCCTGGTGTTCTAGGGGCTGGCCACCTGAACATGAGTCCGCAGGCATTTCCCTGGGCTCACCCTTTACAAATCCTGTGCACATCTCACTTTCAGAAAGGAAGGACCTATGACATTTCCAACAAAGTCTTAGTTGACTCAGAATATACAAAGATATTTTTCGTTTTAAGTCAACCTTGAGGCATGATTTACATATCATAAAATGCATCCATTTTAAATATTCAATTTGATGAGTTTTGACAAATGTATACTTCCATGTAGCCAGCACCACAGTCAAGATACAGAACATTTCCATCACCCCAAATCATTCCTTGTGCCCCTTGCTAGTGATGCCCCTGGCCCCCAGCCCCCAGCAACCGCTTATTGACTTTCTGTCATAGATTAGTTTTTGCTTTTTGTAGATTTTTATATATAAAAATCTTACAGTATCTACACTTTCCTGTCTTAGGCTCAGCATAATGTCTTTGAGGTCCATCCGTGTGGTTGCGTGTTATTAGTAACTTATCCTTGTTTTAGCTGAGCAGTATTCCATTGTGTGGAAGTCCCCCAGTGTGTTCTCTTCACCTGATGGAAGACATCTGTGTTTCCAGTTTGGGGCTATTATGACTTCAAATACCTCTTCTGATTCTGGAGTGGCCAGGGTTATTGCCCTGAGAGAGCTTGGAATCTGTGGGGAAGAGGTTTCAATGATGTGATGCTTGTGGTGGTTTATTATTGGTTGTAATCAACTGCAGAAATGCTTAACAGTTGCGCCCGGGGTGATGGAACAGTTAGAGGGTGCCAGAGTACAGTGGGCGGGAGTCGCTATGAGGGGGTTCTTTGATTTGGGGGTGGCATGTTAAAGCCCCATCTGATGAAAGGGGACCCAGGGGCAAGGGGCAGGGGAACGTGCCTCTGGGAGCAGACTGGAGCAGAATACAGATGGGAGCGATCCTGGCAGATGGGAAGGGCCATGCTAATACCATCGGACCTGGAATGGAGAACTTGTGTTCAGTGAGAAGGGGAGAAACAGCGGGAAGGCCTTAAATACTGGGATTAGAAGCTCAGAATTGATGTCCCAAACAAACAAACAAACAAACAAAAATGGAGTTGCTGCAAGTATTTGAGCAGGAAAGAGCATGGGCAAACGCTGTGTTGTGCAAGATTCCCATCATTGGTGTGCAAGTTGGCTTGAATAGAGCAAAGAAAGCAAGAAAAGAGATAACAAACAGTAGGTGTTTATGTGAGCTTGTTTTCTTGCCAGCTTCAAGGGTGGCCTCCCCAGCTGCAGAAGAATGCCTGGTGATAGAGTGGAGCAGAGATGCATGGGGGCTAGAAGTCGCAGAACATACCACGGTCATGGTGGATTCATTTTCTGTTGCTGCATGACAATGACTTCAGATTCAGTGGCTAAGACAACACATTTTTTAAAAAATCTCACAGTTTCTTTTGAGTCCGGAGTTGGGACATATGTTAGTTGGGTTCTCAGCTCACGGGCTCACCCGTGAAATCAAAGTGTTGGCTGAGACTGTGTCCTCATTTGGAGCTCAAGATCCTCTTCCAAGCTCCTTCAGGGTGTTGGCACCATTCAAATCCTGCACTTGTAGGGCTGAAGTCCCCATTTCTTTGCTGACCTAGAGACTGCGCTCCAGTTCTAGCCATGGGGCTCCCTCCATAGGTCATGACAACATGGCTGTTTGCTTTCTTCCAGAGCAGCAGGAGAGAGCCTGCTGCTGCTTCATCTCTTTTAAGGGCACTCCAGATTAAGGATAACCTCCCTTTCAGTTGACTCCAAGGACCTTAATTATATCTGCAGAATCCCTTTTGCCATATAAAGTAACAATCATTGGAGTGATATCGCCTCATATTTATAGGTCCCACTTATGCTCAAAGGGAGGAGATCAGACAGCATGTACACCAGGGAGTGTATAGCTTGGAGCCATCTTAGAATTCTGCCTACCACACATGGTTTGGTTCTCTTTGACTGCCTGTTTCCCCACCTCTAAAGAGAGGAATTCTGGGCCAGGTCCTCTCAGAGGTTCTGCTCTGTGTTTTTCCTTATTTCATGATAATGGGGTCAAGGTGGAAGCATTGTTACCAATCATGGCCTCCAAAATGTGACTTAAAGACTGGTGACCTGCTGGGCAGAGATGACTGATAGTCATCGAGAGGGATGTGTGCTGAGGGAAGGGACAGCCAGTTGACTGTGGGTATGCCGTGGAATGGGTGGTTGGTGGAGTTGTTAGGGCTGTCCACACATACTCCCTTTCCTCTCCTTCTGAGCGGCAGATGGAAGGACTGTACCTCCCAGCCCCTTCGGGAGTCCCCGTGGCCATGTGACTGACTTTGGCCAATGGAATGTGAGCAGTTGTGACGTATATCATTCTGAGCAGAAGCTCTTAAGAGCCAGTGTGTGCATTTTATCTCACTCTTTTTTTCCTCTGCCACGGGGACTAACACGATTTGAGATAGTGGCTGCCCCATCAGCCTTGGTCCCTAAGCGAGAGTATGCAGAGCAAAGTCCCAGCCACCCCACACTGGACTGTGGCATGAATGAAAAATAAACCTTTGTTGTTTAAAGACCCTGAGGGGCACCTAGGTGGCTCAGTCG